GCCCCCTCTATGATTGATTTTGAAATTTAAAAGGACTTGAGGCAAATAATTTGTAGGATTGAACAAGCCTAGAAGAAGAATAAATATTTAAGCACTTGTGTTTTTCTTCTTAAAATTTGAAGAACACTTTTAATATATGAATCCAGTATTATATAATTAAGATAGGGTTCTTGTAAAAATTATAATGCTGAAACTATCTATTTATCTAATGACTTATTGTTACCCTTTTAACCCGTAGATTACCATTTTAGTAATGACAGGTACTATTACTGTCATTGGTGGATCTTTTTAGTTTAAGAGTTTCAACATTATCCTACTCGAAGTAGATATTACTAAATCTCTTAATATTAAATGATCCGCTAGATTTTCAATTGACTTAATGTATTTTAGAAAAATTATTCCACTCTTGATTATTTTATTTATGTAGACGTGTCTTAAACTCATATATCAAGACTTTTCATTGTATACCTCATTGTATTTGTTTGCTAATGCGACTTGACTATCACATATGATAGATATCGAAAATGTATTATTCGGTCCCAAAGTATCTCATATAATAGATCCTTTATAGTAGATCATTAAGCCACTCAGCTTCTTTCTCAATATCTAATAATGCAACGAATTCAGATTCTATGGTTGAATGTGTTATGCTGTTTGTTTTTTAGATTTCCAAGAAACTGCACTTCCGCCAAGAGTAAACACCTAACTCGAAGTAGATTTTTTCTCACCAGTACTAGATATTCAAGTAGCATAAATAAATCTTTCTAATATTGCCAGGAAATTAGAATATTGAAGACCTAAGTTTTTTGTTTTCTTTTAATAACCAAGAACTCTCCCAATGGAATTCCATTATTCCTTGCTCGAATTACAAGTAAACCTACTAACCAAAAGCTATATCCAATCTTGTACATTGAACTACATAAATAAAACTACCTATATTACTTCCATACTCCAATTGAGCAATAGCTGTCCCATCGTTCTTTATAAGTTTAGAACTTGGATCAGAAGAGGTACTATACTCTATTATGTTCAAATGTTTGAATTTATCTGTCACATTATCGATATAATCTGATTAATTTAGATAGTAACCCCACTATTTTTGTAATTTTGATACCCAATATGATACCACTTTTCCAAGATCATTTATCTTGAATGTGGAAGATAGAAACATATATGTTTCTTTTATTCCGTCCATGTGATTACTTAAAATCAACATGTCGTCGACATATAAGAAAATAAATATAACATATTTATCACATAATTTTGAATATAAACATTTACACTATATTGTATGAAACCAAGTGAAATAATTGTTAAGCCAAATTTCTCATGCCATTTCTTTGATGCTTGTTTTAATTCATGTAATGGTTTTACTAACTTGTACACATTATGTTCATTTTCAAGTAGAACAAACCTTTCAAGTTAGCACTAATCTAACTTTAAAGGTATTAAGAGAACCATCTACATTATATTTTCTTCTAAACACTCATTTACAACCGATAGGTTTAAAACTAGGTGGTAAATCGACATGTTTTTATGTATTGTTTGACATAATTAAATCCATTTCATGACAACTAAATCTTTTCAAAAGATACTATCACGAAGCGATAGCTTCTCTATAGGTTTTAGGATTGATTTCCACTTGTAGAACAAAAATGTATTGTTCTTACAACATCTTTCTCATTTTTCTCTACTAAGTGAAATAAGTTGAGAATCAATTTCATCCGATCCTAAAGTCTTTTCGATCTAAGTTCTTTTGCTTCTTTGAAACTCACTAGATACGGTAACATTTAAAAAAAAATGTTTCATCTTGTGCTCTACTAGAGTTAGGAATCTCTTTAGTTTTCCTTAATTAATTATCCAAACATATCGAATTCTCAAAGAACTTCATGTCATTTGATTCAATTATCACATTGGTCTCCAAATTCAATAATTTATATGATTTGCTATTATTAGCATATCCAACAAAGACGGATTTTATGCCTCTTGGAACCAACTTGGTCCTTTTAAGATATGTGTTCTTGTAATATACAAGACATCCCCACACTTTGAAATATTCAATATTTGATTTTCTTCATTTTCACAATTTATAAGGAGAAACATTTGTAAACTTTGAAGAAATCTTATCTCATATTCTACATGCACTCAACAAGGCATCACCCCCACAAGTTAAATGGCAAATTAGCATATGTTAACATGGCATTTATCATTTCAACTAATGCTCAAATTTTCATTTCAACCAAACCATTTTGTTCGGGTGTACTAAGTGCATGATATTGATGTACTATACCCTGTTGTTCACAAAAGGAATTATAATCTCTGGAGAAGTATTCCTCTCCTATATTACTTCTAATTGTTTTTTTTTTTTCTTATTTTTATGATTTTCAACTTTATTTTTATATATATTAAATATATCAAAGGTTTCATGTTTATGTTTCAATAAATAAATGTAAGTATACCTAGAGTGATCATCTATAAAGATAATGAAATATCTATTTTACCCCTAGTTAGTCATTAAGTTCACATATGTCCGAATAAATAAGTTCTAAAATTTGAAAAATCATATTCACACTATGACTTTCTAACCATTTTAGATTGTACGCATGTTTTTCATTTATAAGTATCATTCGTATTGTATGAAATCATATCACATTTAAACATTCATTTCCTTGTACTTGTACTTATGTGACCTAATCCAGCATGTCATAAAGTAAATGAATCAAGTAAGCAAAATTAACTTTATTCTTATTAATATTGTCAACAATACATAGTTTGATCATTCCTTCAGAAGAATGACATTTTTCAACAAATCTCCCATTTCGAGATACTACAAATTTTTTGAACTCGTGAACACTTTTGATGCCCGATTTTCCTAAGGTATCTTCACTCACTAAGTTTCTATTGATTTCTGGAACACGTAGTACATTTATTGAGGTAATGACTTTTCCAAAAGTGAAGATGATATCAACATTTCATTTCCCTACCACTTTAGAGCTGCCTTCATTTCCCATTTGTATCTCTTGCTTTTCATTTGATTCATGATAAGTCTAGAAAAGTGATTTATCATATGATACATGAATAGTTTCACGTTTATCATACCACCAACCGGGGACTAATTTGCCCTTGAAAGCATTGATTTCGCTCGCGGTAACCACAATGCTATCTTCATCAATGGAGTTAACGTTTTCCTCTTTCTTGTTTTGTTTTCAATGTCAAAATTCATTTGCGAAATGTTCGGGTTTTTCACATACAAAACATTCTCCCATGGGCTTCTTCTTAAACTTGTTGAAGTTTCTAGAAAGTTTTCTCTTGTTTGATTTGTTGGACGACTCGATCTTTTCAATGGCATTAGCTTTTGATGTGCCTTTATAAAGTTTTTACTCTTATTTCTTGCCCTTGATTCTTCCTCAATTTGAAGATGTTTCTGAACTTGTTCCAAAGAGTAATCTTCGAAACTATGAAAATCTTCTTCCGGTATCCTTTCCAAGTCCCGAAAAGTTTAGCAATAAATTCTTCCACTTGGAAAGATTCCGAAACTCCAATCTTGATCGCCTTTAGTTTGTTGACGAGTACTTTCAATTCTTGTACTTGGGGAAGAAGGGGAATGTTTTCAAGAAGCTTAAAATTGAAAAACCTCTATATTAAGAATTTCTTTGTACCTTCTTTTTCGGCTTTATATTTATTCTCTAATGCATCCCAAATGTCTTTTGCCAAGGATGTGTTGGTGTATAGATCATATGACTGGTCGAGTAGTACGTTGAGTATGTGATCGCGGCAAATTAATTCGTCCTTTGACGCTTTTGCCTATTCGCTCTTATGACACCGGTATATGTAGCCATCGGTTCTGGCAATGGTGTTACTTCGAATCAAGGATGTAAAAGATCTTCAATACTGTGAGAAAGAACTTCAACTTGTCTTGCCATCGAGTAAAGTTTGTTCTGTCGAGTAGATCAAAATGAACAAGGTCTTGATTCATAAGTTTGATGGTAGCCATAGAAGTCTTGTTCTCCATAACGAAATATAGTTTGTGATTGTTGGAATAATAGATCTTTCAAAGAGAATGGAGAAGAGAACAAAAAGAAATAACAAACACCAAAAATTGGCTTGAACGCATAATCGTTGTCCTCAAACTAAATTTGTCCCCTCTAGGATTGATTTTGATGTTTAAAAGGACTCAAGGGAAATGGTTTATAGGATTGAACAAGCCTAGAAGAAGAATAAATATTTAAGCACTTGTGTTTTTCTTCTTATAACTTGAAGAACACTTTTAATATATGAATATGCATGGAGAATTTGGAAACTTTTACATCTATGGAATGATTTCAAATTATTTTTATTTGATTGTGTTTAAAGAACGAAATCTATCTTTTACTTATAGATTATCAGTCAAACACTACAAAAAGGTATCAATGGTTCATGAAAAGTTGAGTTTTTTTTCATGAAAATGCTCCAAGAAACGGATAAGAAAATAAGACCTAACAGTCTGATTTTTGAACTGGGTGATCACCCAGTATAAAACCGGGCAATCGCTCCGTTCACCAAATTTGTCTCAGGTGAACAAAATCAAGGTTGGGCAATATGCCAAATTTTGGCCCCTCCATTTTTTTTCTTCTTGTTTTGTTTTCGGTGTTTCCGTGCTTATTCAACACACTCACACTACAACAAAAATCGTCTTTCGCAACATTCCTTTTGCAACGTTTGTGCATATGTTGCAAACCTCGATGTTGACGTAGAGTAGAAGGATACGAAAACGTTTTTTTAGCATTGCCGAAGATCTTTTGCAACGTTTTTTTAACGCTGCGAAAGACAGTTTTTTACAATGTTTTCTGAACGTTGCGAAACACAGTCTTTCGCAACGTTTCAGTCTTTTGGCAACATTTTTTTACCGTTGCCGTATGTTTTTACATTTTTTTTATTTTTTTATTTGAATAGTGATTTACATTAATCAACCATAAAACATTGTAGAAGATAACAATATCAAATAACTTCAATAATCATTATTAATTGAACTGCAAAAATGTCACAATATCCGTACAAAATCTAGATCCAAAATTTTGAAGCACCTAAAAATCCTATACATTTTCAATAAAAAAAAAAAAAACTACCACAAATCCTAAGCAGTGAACTTTGCCATCCGGCATCAATACTGCTTCTTTAGAGGGAGAAAGCATATCATCATCCAATGCTTCCTGAAACATGTAAGCAAATTCATCATGCACAGTGCAATGCCATAAGAATATAACTAATCAAAGGGGGACAGTTAAAACTTACTCTTGGCTTTGGTTCACTTTCTGAGAATGCAGTGGTAAATTCCCCAAAACCATCATCAGATTCAGCATATCCAACATCCGAAATAGGGTTCAACCCATCTTTAATATATGTCTGTTCAATGTTTAAGTTTGTATCTGAAATAAAACTGATTGGAGCTGCTATACTTGACTGGACCTCAAATAAGTTCACTTCCTGGGAACTACTATGAAAATCACTGGAGGTGGAAACTAAATCAATTTCATTTGAAGTGGAAAACAAATCAATAGACTAATTTGTAGCGCCAAACAAATCAATTGATCCATTGCCAATCCCAGATGAGTATGCATTTTTGTCAGAAAAGACATGCTCCTTGGTGTCATCCTTCAAAACATAAATTAAATGGGTGTTTGATAAATATTATTGAGAAAAAAATGTATTTTAAATAGTAATATAATGAGAAATATGTAGTTAAAAAATAAGGAAAAGTTATTCATGTGATGAAAAAATTATTTTATTGAAGAATGTGTGGTTGAAAATGAATTTTAAAAGAATGTATTTTGAAATAATGGGTGCAAAGAGGGGCTAAATGTATAAGCTGCATTCAAGGTGGAAATATAATTTCATATATGTACATAATTTTCATGGCACAAATAAGTAATCAAATATACTTTATTAAGCTGTGATATAAATCCATTCCAAATCATACACTAAAAGGTATGTGATTCGCAGCCGCATAGAAGCAATAATTTGAGGTAGTGCAAGCAGTTGAAATCAAATAATTTGGCCCCATCAAACCAAGATCGATTGCAAGTAAAGCAGATACCATGTTTGTTATAGCATAAGGTATGAAAAACGGAGTTATTTTCCTGTGACCTTTTTCTATTAGAGCCTGAACACCGTCAGAAAAAACTGTAAGACCACCCATTTCTGTTCCAACCAGAACACCAGCTCGAACCTTATCAATCTGCATCAATGAAACCAAGTGATTAAGAGGGACTGGCTTACATCTTCAGAAGAAAAGGAAAAAAAATGGAAGAAGAAGACAATACGTTAACAATTAAACCGACGGAAGCAGTAAAAACTTCTCGATATACGAAATGAATTTTCCAAAATTAGCACTGGATGCAAATTCAATAGATATCTGAAGATCAAACAGTAATGACTTCAATTCCAGACTATGTGTGTCCTAAATTAATTTTCACTTTTGCAAAGAATGAGTACCTTTATAAAAAGCAAAGAGCACATCTTTATAATGAGTTCAAATCTGTTAACTAAGAGAGAAATCACTTTTTACTTTGGACACCAATAAAATACGAGAGTTAGCCATGTCGAACCTCATCTAAAATTGAAGTATACACTTCTACAATATTTCAAGACCTTTCACTTATAGCATTTAGCCCAAGTCAAGAAGACCAAGCAATACTCAGAAATAGCAAACTGAAAACAATGTTAAGTGATAAATTCTTCAAAATTCAGAACCTCACAACAAAAACCATTTATTGCTTATTGTCTTTAATTGTTTTCACCAATCTAAAACTGCTAATTACGAAATAATAACTCAAAATTCAGCATTAAACCAAGATGAAGAACCCAATTAACCACCAGACCAACTCAAGAATCCAACAAAACTAATCATATAAATCTCAAAATTCGGCAACCTTAAGCGCGAAAAAACAAAATACCTTGTCAAGTCTACCAAACCCAAGATCCGCATTTTCAAGAGCTTTTTTGCCAGCTACAATGCAGTATCTGAGACAATCATCCTGATTCATTAGCAGCTCCTCTGCATCCCCAAATAAGAAAAGTGGCAATGCGCCACTCGGTTTTACCCACCGAGTCGGTGACACCGATTTGGTATAGCCTGAATGATTAGCAGCGACCTCAAACGAGTCAAAAGACTTGGAGGGTTCTAATTGGATGGAGGAGAATTGCGATGGGAATTCGACAAAATCACCCCATTCATCATCATCGGTGGACCACCAAGACCAGTCCTACACAAAATCAAACAATTAATCATAAAACCCACAAGTCTAAGTTAACGAAAAATGGAATCTTGAAAATGGGGTTTCTATATTTTTCCTAACCTTTGGAGAATGGGTTGAGGGAAGATGTAGAAGGCTAGGTGAGGCTATTGGTGGTTGTGTCCGGTGGACGTGGTGGCCAGAAGGTGGAGGAATGAGGCTCTATAGGTGGTGGGTTGGAGAAGAATGAACGGAGGGAGGCGTGAACAAAACTTTTCGCACGGTTTGTCAAAAGTTGCAGAATAAAATGTCTCATTTTTCGCAACGTTCAAAAAACGTTGTAAAAGTAGACTTTTTACAACGTTTGATAAACGTTGCGAAGAACTAACACTCATTGCAAAAAGTGATCTATTGTAATATTCTTTTAAAAAACGTTGTCAAAGCTCGTTTTTATTAACCAATGATAACATTCACTTATTAAAATGTTGGGATAGATCCATTTAGCAACATTTTATTAGTAAGTGTTGCAAATGATCATTTCTGGTGTAGTGTCATATGGATGTTTGATCATTCTAAAACGCTTATCATTATAATTTTGAACAATAAATTACAACATATAATTTGGCAAAAAACTCGACAATTTGGGACGTCGTGTAGACTAATAAGAATAATATTGAATCTAACGCTACACGCACAAGCATTAAGTGAAGCAACACTGATAAACGTGCCGTCGTAATTTTATAACGAAGTCTCTGTTTACAGAGGAGGGAGCAGCTACATTCCTCCGACAATGCGGATTTGTGAGAACAAAGGTAAAACTCACTTCAACAAACTCCTCTTCCTCTGATTCTATTCACTATATAAATATATAAGTTTAGTTACTTATTCTCTTTCTTGTTCCAAAAATCTGCCAAGAAAGAGAGAAATCGACAGGTCAAAGCCAGATAGCACCAGCCTCTTTTAAGAGAGGCACAAGGATGCCATTGATGTGAGAGGTCATGACTGTGTCCATAGAACCCACCAGTTTGCCACCGATGAACACCACCGGCACGGCCGAGGAGCTGCCCGGTAATCTAACGAGAGCCTTCTCGATTTCAATTCCTCTGGGATCTTCGTCCAGCTCGTAAACGGTTGCGTTCACTCCCATGCCGGAGAAGAGCCTTTTGATGGCATGACACATGCAGCATGTACTTTTGCTGAAAATCACCACTGCACTCTCCTCGGCCAATCGTTGAATGAGTTGTAAATAAGAATTCCGGGACTCTGTTTGATAATGCATTATCTCAGTTTGTGTAGACAGATGGGATTTAGGTTGCTTAGATTTTATGGAAATGGATTGGTATTTATAGACAGAAGAAGATGGATAAAATATTCAAGTAGTGTCCAAGTTGGCTGAGTGTGATTCGATGAATGTACACTTCTCAAATCCGAGTATCAAGAGGAGAATTTTTCAGACTTCTTCTTGCAATAAAGGCTAAAGCTACTCTACTGAGAGATGTTATTCTTAATTTCATTTTATTTTTTTCTTTTGGCACGTGGAAAGATGATATTTTTAATACTTATCTAGGGGTGAAATTCAAAATAATTTAATTGGGGTTGGGGGTGTGATACTACGCCCCATTTGCCCATATTATTCCCCATTAAATTATAATTCATTTTTTAAATAATCGGCTTTTCGACCATTTTTATCCTTTGTAATAAGTCATTTTCGATCGAAAAATGGGCTAACCGACAAACTTTTCCTTTGGTGATGCTCTTCTTTTAGTAGTGAGTAAGGTGTTGGATTAAGTCTTTGATAAGTGTGTTTTGGGCACTTAATTATGACACAAAATAAATTGATTGTTGTTATAAAATGCTCGAAAATGACTTAATTCATTATATATTGTTTTTGTAGGACTACTTTGATGGAATGAACGAAATATATGTGAAAAATGGTGAAAAGGACTAAAATGCAAGTCAACGAAAGTTCAGGGACTAAATCGCAATTATCCAAAAGTTGACCCAATTGATGAATCAAGTATGGAATTCTACTAATGAGCTAATTGTCGCTTGCATGGATGACTAGAAGTAGAAGGAAGAGGAATCAAGGCTCAAAAGTGCAAGGGAAGAAAATTGAGGACCAAATTGAACAACCTAAAGAAGTTTACTGCCTTGCGATCGCCCAGACATCAACAGGAAGCCCAAGAGAGCAAATCAATTGGTCCTTGCAATCGCAAGGAATCCTTCCTTGCGATCGCAAGGTAGTGTTTCTACGCGAAATTTTTAGTTGCCTTTTTCAATTCAAACACTTATGGAATGATATCTTGGGAATCTATTTAAACCAAAACTCGTCCAGAATTAGGTTTGATGCATTCTTAGAGAGAAAAAGGTCGATTTTGAAGAGCAAGGAGAAGAGCTTGAGCTAGGGTTTCACCACAAGATCCAAAATTCAAGCTTTAACTTCTACTTTTTGGTGATGTTTTCTTTCTATCATTTTTATTGTTGTTTTAATTTCATTATGCTAGGCTAGACTTTTTATGTACTAGGTGAACGATGAACCTCGCATTGTGATCTCTTTATTTCTATTTTGCAATTTGACAATTAAACACGTTTGATGGTTATTGAATGATTTATATACACTTCTTGTCTCCGTGATTATAGTGCACGATAATTGTGTGAGTTTAGGTGGTTTATTTCATGCATTCGAAAGAAGGGAAATAAATTTAACAAGGTATAAATCGTCGTTTTGTTCATAGAGGATAGAAATATACCGATATGCATTACGTGAATCTCTAAGTGTTTACAAAACTACATGCATCCTTATGTATTGCATTTGTCATAAAAATATAGTCAAATGGAATATTAGGATATGTTCAATTCTACTTGAAAGAGATTGTTGAATAAGTTAGAAATATTGATTCTTCAAAACGATTCATCGTGTTGTCAAATTGTGAGATAGGGGTTAAGAGTGAACATTGCTTGGTGAGTCGGGATCCTAGTACGCTTTTTCATACATTAATTTCTTCAATCTTTACATTCAACCATTATTTTATATTTAGATTGAAACTCTAGTTTAATTTGCATGTTAGTCTTAATTTCATCATAAAATCATAAAAATAATCATCTTGAATTTAATAGATTCGGTTAAGGTCATAATAATAGAAGTCAAGTTAAATCAATTCTCGTGGGAACGATACTCGAAATTTTACAATTTTCACTTTATTACTTGTCAACGAACCATACACTTGCGGTGATATAATTTCGAAACGTATTTTCGTGAACAATCTTGTAACGAACACAATCATTATGTTTAGTTGGCTTCATTGAGTTTGGAACCCTCAACAAATTGCCGACTATAAGAAGGTATTTTCAGGCTCGTCTTGGCTAACACCTATGTCGAGACAAAAGGTTGTGATCTTGTGAGTGAGTTCTACACTAAAGGATGTTGTACGTGCATGAAGAAATACACAACTAATATTGCTCTATGTGTTACTATGTCATGTATGAAATCGTAAAGCAAATGACGTGCTTATTTGGTAGTGTTTTTAAATGATAATAAAATATAATTTTTGTAGAATTATTGATAATAAGTGAATAGTAAATTTTGAATTCTATTGGTAAAATGTATATTTAATCAATTTAAATTAGAATTTAATTTTTATCAAACATTCAGTAAATGATATAATATTTTGTCGTAAACTCGTGAATAGCTAATTAGAGGGACAAAGCATGGAATGGAGGGAAGGGACAAGAGGAACAGGCTTTTTTCAGACGAGGTCTCGTCCTTGTCGGTCCTACTTTGGTCCACAAGTGGGTGGCCTCCTCGTTCATATAAAAGTAGACTGTAGAAGGTTTAAGAGTAAATTACTTTCACTTTTTATGTGATGTGATTATGATTTTCATGTAACAAAAAATATTAATATAGATATTAAAATTACCTACAATTTGTAATTGATTAAAGAGAAAGGTTTGATGGTTTTACGTTCTAGTGAATAATGTGTTCGATTCCTACGATTTTGATCATGTAAAGATCTAGATTTATAGATTATAATCCCATGTGAAAGATTAAATGACCCATCCTTAAAAAAATTACGAATAAAGCTATAAACACAAAGATTCTAAAACACGACTGGCAGGGCGGGGAATGTATGTTGTGACACTATCCTAGGGATTTTAATTAGGATTAACACGAATTTGGTCCGACATAATCAATGTCGTCTTAGATGTTAATCAGATTTGGACGGTTTCTTTTTATTACAATATAAAATGTTTTATACTTGAGAATGTATCAGATATTTTATTAATTGTCGTAAGAAATCTTATCCGGTGAGCATCTAATCACACAGTTGAGACTTGAAATAGTTTGCGTTTATCCATTTGGAATAAAGATACAACCATTACTATTTATCATCCTTCATTCTTTACTTAAAATGATTGTTACATTTTTTATATATTGACATATTAAATATCTTGATGTCCGCTTTACTAAGAAGAAATGACATGCCAATATGTATTAATAGGATAATAAATAAGACAACAAGTTCGGGACAACCGATATCAATTTTGAAAACTACAGGCTACATTATTGGGCATGAGGCTGAAAACTTCCATTTAAGCAAAGGGGAAAAAAAATTATATTGTTTCATCAATTTTAACTTATGCATACGTCGTACCTGTGTAGCTTCATTAATATATACAGAGAGATGTGAAGGATAATAGGTTGTCATATCATCGATATTTCATCATCATAAATAACATTACTCGAATTGAATTTGACCGAGTAGAAAAGTATTGCCTTTAAATTGTCATTCCTTCCTTTTACGGTGATTAATACATAACCATGATATCTACAAACAAGTTAATTAATTTACTTGGTTAAAAGATTTTTTAGAACAAATGAATTATTCACCTCAAATACTAGTCGATGAAGTCAGTCCAATTAGTCGAACACTGGTCTATGAACTCGGTCGGACGCCACGTTTGGTCCCTTACTTTGAGCACATGCATGCCATGACAACAAACCTATATTATAACAAATTCATACATGTGTACAAGTTGCTTGTGCAATTGTATATACATTTTTGCAAAGAGACAGACACACACACACACACCTTTTCAAGGTATTAATTATGGTAAGAGTCTTAAGACCAATTATTTTATAACATAACACCAAAACCTAAGTAGTGTGGCCAATGCAGCCTAACTAAGTTTCTGAATTTGTTCTTTTCAACCCAAATAAATCAAAATACATCCCAACTTCGAATATCATCAATTTAAACTGCTACATAGCAGTATTCAGTTTATATGTATGCGAGTGCAAAACATAAGGGGTAACATATTTCAACCGAAACATTCAACTCACTTCTTTACTACAATTCCAACTTAGCTCCTGTTTGGTACCGATTAANACTACAATTCCAACTTAGCTCCTGTTTGGTACCGATTAAAATCTAGATTTTAAGTCAAGTTAAGAATTTAATTTAACCACATATTTTTATGGGTCCTACAACTTTTCAACACACATTTCATCAATTTTTATTAAAATTTATTTTAAAAAATCTGATTTTAATCTCACAAAACAGTGCTTTTAGTGAGTACACCAATTCTTGCGATTGACGATCGAACATTTTAACATTTTCTTGTATGCAAACTTGAACATAATTTTTGACATGGACAAGTACAATAGTACTAGTTCAATGATCTAATGTATTAATTTATGTGAAACATTTACTGATTGATTATTGCTGTATGGGTTATGGCTGCAACAATATCAAAGCCATGTTCTTGGCATGAAAACTTTGGTTGACCGTTGAAATTAAGTTTATACATAGGACCTGGCAATGACGGTGGATTTGTCTCACTTGCTGTCTTTCGGACAATATGATATTTGTTTCGCCAAAATATTGTCTACACTTGGCTCGACTTCATATTTTATCCCAGATTAACTAAATAGTCTGATGCCCATTTTTTTGGGGGGGAAAATGGATTTTAAAAAATAGAAAATGGATTTTTGACTTTCTCTACTTGCAATTTATTCATAAAACAAAGCTCTTGCTATAAATACTTCTGCTAAATGAATGTAAATTTCTTTGCAAAGACATAATAAACAAGCAAAACTCACTATTCTTTCCATCTTTTGCCCTTTTCCAGAATTTTCAAAATCAAAAAGGCATTTATAAATTTGTAGTTATATCCTAAAAAACCAATCCGAAGCAGACTATGTATAATGTTGTTGATATTTTAACACAATAGGACGACATCGTTAACAAGTAATAAAAAAGTTAGTAAAATATTATTGAT